ATATGATCCCTTAGCAATCTGCATTAGCAGACCTTTAGAGTACAAGGACAGCAGTCCATTTTAAAATGTACTTCACTTTTTAAAATATAAGTACTGTAGCAATTCAGTAAACATTCCATTTAATGTATAGTGTTCATTCATATTTTCCTTATGGGAATGCAAACAAATTCCAATCTATCTCAGTAGTACCTGTGGACAATCAGCATAAACTGATACCAGCACAAAAGAAGAGTAACATTTTTACTTCTCCTGCGTGTTGCTAATATCAGACATCAATTCAGAATGGGTAAATCTTATTTATGTGTAGATGATTTTAGGAGAATTTAAACTGTAATTATGCAATTTCCTTTTTTTTAAACAGATAATGAATGTACCTGAATAGAAAGTCCTCATTCTAGTATTCAACCAAATTAAATGGTTTTTTGAATAAATACATGATAGTAGTTTCACTTAAATAGGAATTGGGTATCCTTAAATGTTTTATGAACATAATATGTGGATACTATTTCTTTCAAATAGTTCTAGTGCATGTACTATAATGAAAATGTCTGTACTATATCTGAATATTTATAGTTAATGTCATTTTCAAAGATACTTTTAAATAATCAGAAAAGCACAGTTTGGTTAGTAGTGAAATTAATGCAAATGTAGTTAAGGGACATCTTCCCCTTATTTCTGCTTCTGTGGATTTAACAATAGTGCACATAAGCCATGTAATCATAACGAGAGAGTTATAAACCATTTCCCTGGAGGACCAAAAATTAACTATCAGTACTCTATGAGCTTGTAGAATTTCAGTCCTTCATGTAACCACAGGAAAAAGTAATAGAAAAAACTCTTCAATAGTTGGTAATTTTTTGAACTTTTAAAATGAGAAAAATCCTGTAGAATTTGCTGTCTTTAACCCCTAATGCAAGATTGTTTACTACAACATCTTTCTACTGATCCAATCCCTTAAAAAAAAATAATCTAATTTTTTAATTTAGTTTCTTGTTTATACTTAACCTGGCAACCCCTTAACTCTTACACCTCAAAAATCTGCTTTTATGTTGTCCTGGTGATCTCCAAGCCCCAGAAATTCATGCTGCAAATATTTCCTCGTGTAAATGCTAACAGGCTGTGTTTTTCCTTCCTGAGGAGGAGGCAGGTTTTTTCTGTAAGATGGAGAAGCTGGGCTGCATTTGTCGTTCTGTTATCTCTCACTGCTGGAAACTATGACAGGCTTAGACCTGATGAGAATTCATGAATAGTTATGAGAGTCTGCTAGCTTTGTTTTGGCTGGAGGTCAAGTTTTCCGTTTTTAATATGACCAGGCTTATCTCATTCTAAGTTGCCTCTGATCAGTCAACCTCATCTTCCACTGTTTCTTGACCATTTGCAGAAGTCTGCTGTTTTCCGTAGGAAAACTAGTCTCAGTTAATGACAGTAAAGCTTAAACTGGGTTCCTGACTGAAGACTCAGTGAGTCATGTAGTTCTTTAAAATGGCTTTGATGATAGGCAGGTATATCTGCTCTACATTGAATATGTTTTGAATCATGACTCTTACACTGAGTGGAGGACACTGAGATGGTGATGAGTGTCTTCTACGTAATCTCCATGCCAAAAAGGATAGTAAAACGCAGGATGCAGATAGAGATATTAGTCCCCTGTCCTTCCCAGTGCTTCCAGTAAAGCCTTAGTGTTATAAGCATTTAACGAAGATACAGCAAAGCTGATGCCACTAGGAAATCAAAACCAAAAGGCCTTCCAGGTAAATCTGCTTGTCTGGTTATGACACAGGGAAATGCTCATTTTCTGCTGTGGTATAAGACCGTTTGTTATACACTAACCTTTTTCCTGAATATTGCTGCTTTGTCTCCTACACAAATGGTCTCTTCCTCACCTCTTAGAGTGCTTAGTTTGCAGCAGGACTACTGACTGCATGCAGGGCATGCTGATGGATGTGGCAAGTGTGTCTTTAGGAAAGCAGGCATGAGAAATTGACCTCACTTCCTTTTGTGCATGGAAATCAAGAGAAGAAAAGTTCTGTGGCTCCTTCTCTTGTCTCCTTCTTTTCACACCTGCCTGCATGGATAGGAGAGGGAATTTTTTGTTACGTAATAAACATAAAGGTCACTTTCTCTTCATTGCTGTTTATTTCTCATTATGCACAATGGTGTGGAGTGTAAGGGACAGGAATTCTAGGGAGTGCTTTATCACTTTTGAAAAGCGTATCTCATGTATCACAGAATTGTCTAAAACCTTCTTAGTAAAAAGGAATAAACAGGAAGGGGCGACCAATCTTTCACTTGTACTTTCAGGCTCCTGCAGGGAATAAGCTGATTGATTCCATGGCTTCTTTAGAAAATACTGGGGCACTTGCACAAATTCTAATTTGCAAATGTAAAAAGCTAGAATCTTGGTATGGTACATAATAGTAGTAGTTCTTGTGGTAGGTCTTGGTAAAACCAATTAATAGCTTTCATTAATCAGCCTTTTATTAGAGACCTTCTCCAATGTACATGAAAATGAATTGACTTAAGTTTGCTTTCAAGAACAGTGGCCTTATTCTCATTTCCAAAGCTATCTATCTGATACCACCAAGACAAGATGTAAGGTACTTTGATCCTCTTCCTTCATATGCCAAAATTTACAGAGGTTAGCATGGCTTCTTTCTGTACACTAAGCAGATTACCAAAAATCCTCCCAGAGTATAGCTTACTTTTCTATAACAGCACACAAAATAAAGCAGAGTTTGGTATCTAGCTTTTTCACTTCAGCAACATTACTACAGTAAATAATATTAAGTTAATCTATTTATTCTTATCCCTGCTTACCTTTTAATGTCTGAAGAGCAACAAAGCAAAACATTGCAATAGCAAATAAACTCGATTGTTTCTAAGGATTTGTGAGTGAATCCAGAAGGGTAAATTGATCGAGTATGTCTTCCTTCCCCAAAACGCTCCTTGAAGTTCAATGGGAAAAGTGAATTTAGATATCATAGATGGCTTTTTTTGAAGCCAGTTCTCTGTAGAACAAATTGCTCAAAGGTGGGAGCCGTAAGGTCTATCGTATCCAGTTGAATGCACTCACTTGAGGGAGTGAGATGGAATTTCATATGAAATTAATAAATTCAATGGAATAGTAATAAAGTAAGTAACGCATGAGAATAATAGAGACTGTTGACGCTCATGATTCACTTTTGTGTTCACTTTTTGGCTGTAGTGAGCTGTGTTTTAATATCTCTTACTTATCATCTCAGTCTTTTGCATGTTCATGGTCAGCACTTGCTTCTTCACTGGTAGAAATGCACACTGCTTTCCTTCCTTCTGTGGAACTGTATGCATCCCATAAGTATAGATATGCCTACACACATCCTGCCACTGATGCTGATGGCTAACCAAAATACCAGTGCATGGCACAGCTTTCTCTTACTGTACTGTTTTCTTCCACTGCCTTCAGTCTAACAAGGAAAAAGCAGTTCTTGCATGTAACAGGTTTCTAAGAGGCATGTGTAACCTGGAAGCACCCAGCTGTGGTCTGTGGATCATCTGAGTGATTCACAGAGCCTTGTGTAAGATGAGTTGGAGAACTGGCCGATGGCTTAGCACTGGCTTCCTTTTTCTTTGTTTCTAAATTGCATTAATGTTAACAGAATTATATTAGGTACTAATAATTTCCTAATAGTTCATTTCCATGTAATCAATTGTTGGCCCAGAATGTTATATAATTACCAATGAGAGGAAGGGAAATAAAGAAAACTCTTAAGGGAATCTGTGAAATAAAATGTAACCCATGTTCTGAAAAAATACTGACAACTGCTTTATCTCATACTTGGTTATTTGTCTTAAGAATCTAAGCAAAAAGGCATAGTAGTGTATCTAAGTGCACAAATAAAAAATTGGCTTGAAAAACTTCCAGCTGACAGTAAGGAGGTCTATGAGTTCTCTCAGCTTCTCTGAAGCAATGTGAAGTTTCAATAATGAAAACATGCTTCAGTGAAAGGGGAATCATTTCCCAGCTTAGGTATCCTTTGGTATCTGAACTTGTGCACTGTCCTTGTCTACAGTGGTCCTAAATACAATCTGAAAGGTTCCTATGTCAGGTTCCTGCTGGCAGATATTTGTGCTTTACCAGTAGAGTTCTTGAACAGTAGAGGGAAATGTTCAGATAGATCTGATTGCAGAATTAAGGCCAGATTAGGGAAAGTTATCTGCAGTTTTTTGTTTGTTTGTTTTGAGCTGGAATACATCCAAGCTCAAGATGTTCCATATACTCAGGATTTTACAGTCTTTGTTCTTACTAAAATGGTGCATTTACCAATAAGATAAATTGGAGAGCATACTTGCATGTCAAATGTCTCTATATAAATCTTGGACAAATTACCTCAATACACACAGCACAGTTGCTGCTTTATTTCAATTTCAATTGAAATAATTTTCAATAATTATTTGAATGCTTAATGAGATAGCATATTACTAGATGCCACTAAAATCCATAGGAGGGATTTGCTTTGATTTAGTGAGCTGCTTTGACTGAGTTCTGTAGTACCTGTTGAGAATAAGTACCTGTATGGTTTTTTTTTAATGATTATCTGACAGTGCTTTTCCTATTCTATGGCACTGTGTGTGCAAACCAAAGCACCTTCTGGGAGAAATGGATTTTCCTGTTTTGAAAAGCAGACATATTAGCAGGTTAAACTGCAGTTGTTTTGGCGTGGGCTGCTCACATTCTTAACTAAGGTGGCTGAAAAAGAGAGACTAGCTATTCTTCTATCCCAAGCTAAAGTTTGAACTAAACCAGCATGATACCAGCATTATCTTCTATCCTTTCCAGTTAACTGCCTATGATTTTTTTGTGTGTGTCCTGTGGTGTCTCTGTGAAGGTAATAGTTTGTTGCAGTTACAAAAACATAGCGTTGGGGATTAAAAAAAAGAAGATAAGCCATCTCAATGGTTTTATATCCACGTGTTAATGGAAAAATTCTCAGCTCCAAACACAAAGGTAACAATTGCCTTACCGAATCAGAACTGGATCAGCAGTTACCATGGCTCAGTAAAGAGTGTCCAACAGCATCAGGATTTCTTGCTGTCAAGAAAAAAATATTTGGAAGGCAATTATTAAATAGCCTTCATTTAATTTTATTCCCAGGCACCCTAAAAGAAATTTCTGAAAAAATATTTTGTGACTTCAACTTCTTGAAAGGAAATTTTATTTCCAAGAGAATGTGTTTATGTAAATGTAAGCACGTAGTAGGATAAAATCTATTAGTCTAGTTAGGAAAGGTACTGCAAATTCACAATAAAATGCTAGAAAAAGAATTTTTTAATTTAAGAGAGAGAGACCCTAATAATCTGTAATTCTTAATAAATACTTCCTCTTTTAAAAAGAGGCCAATATATGTTTCAGTATCTGCTTTGATAGAAAGCTACTGGGTGATCTATACAAGAAAATACCAATAGTCTGCATACTAATATTTATAACAAATCACTCCATAATCTCTTGCTAAAGAGAATGAGTTGATGTTTACAGTGCTCAGTTAGGGATTCAAATGCTGATTCATTTCAATTCTCTGCCCTGCCATGGACCTTCTATTTGGTCATTAGTAATTCTATTAAGAGTTAGTTCCTTGTGTGTAAAATGCAGAAAAAAAAATTCTGCAGGAGAATGCTGAGAATATATGCGTTGTATTCACAGTACTGCTTCAGTATTGAAACACAGAAAGGAGTTGAAGGACCTTGTGGTCTCTTAAGATGCCAATGTTTCCTCATAACATCAGATTTTCATTATAGATTGATTCTCTGTCTAAAACATTTTGATGGCACAGAGAGGAGCTGTTCAAGAGCAAGTCTAGATTCTTTAAGAAAGGCACAAGCTTAGTATCTCAATACTTGTTATATATAAATGATTGGGAATTTTTCTCATTTTATTTTATATTTGGAAATCAAATGACTAAGTTTCTTCTGCGTAGCACATAATTTCTCATTCAATGGAAGCTCTTTTAGGGTCTTTGATCTTTTAGGGTCCAGTAGAACACACAAGTTTGGCTTGCAAATGAATTTTACATTTTGTTTCTCAAACTCTTGCTAGTGTGAGAGAGAATATGACTCTATCTTAATCATTCAATTAACTCAGTCTTTATGACCTCATCACATAGCACATTTTTTATGAGAAGGTAACATTTAATATTTTCTGCTGTATAACAAACTATATAACTGGGACAGACAGTATGTTCCATGTTTAAGTCTTGTTTGAGAGATATGTCCAGTGTTCAACAAAACCTTGTGGGAATTGCAGTGTTTTGTCAAATAGTCATTGACTCAGGTCCCTCTATCAAAAGCTATTTTGCTGCTACAAAAGGGAGTGCAGAGAAATCATTAATACTAAATCTCACCCAGTTAGCTCAAAACTGATATCCACTAATGTTGGATACAAACTGCCCATATTTTCTGAGCTGATTTTGTACGTGTTGAGAGAGTATGAACTTTACCAAGCTTGTCCCAGTGATGTAGTTGATTCAAAAGTAAATGTAATTCTGTACTGAGTTTGCAAAAAACATTTTGACTGTAACATCAGCAGGGTATTCAATTTTTGATCTTCAAGTACCACCAGTAAGACACAGCTGATCTTGAGCCTTTCTCACTATTAACCAAGCAGGAATTATTCCTGTTGACTGAGAAGAGAAACAGTTCCTGAAAGCAACACTGAGAAAGTACTGTGTGCCTTTGAGCTCATCTTTCCCTTTACTCTGCCTTTTTCTTTGCTTTACTCTGTGGAAGTACGTTTACTACACTTATCTATCTCCATAACCTTCACAACTCCCCTTGCCACGTTACTCAGCATTGTTATACTTGTAAACTCAGGGAGAAAGCTTTTGTAAAATCCTTATCTCAAGCTCAAGTGATGTTCTGCATTTCTCAGCGTAGCCATAGCTAGCAAAGCAGAAACAGATTAATAGATCAGATTAACAGTTCTACCAGAGGCCTAATACTGCTTCTGCTCAACCCCCAGCTGCCTGCCTTTTGGCTTTATAATTTTTCATGAGTATTTTGTAACACTGACATTAGACAATGCTTTATTTTATCTTCAGGCTGCAACTGTAATTATTTATTATCAGACTTGCATGATGATGACTCCCAGTATACTAACGCTTTCCCACCCTAGCCACTCTCTACCAATTTCTAATCCGTCCTCCCCCACTTTGTTTCAGCCTGGTTTTACTATACAGGATGTTCCAGTGAAATCTCAGCTTTGTTACCATAAGGCAGTGTTTGGTTTCTCATTGCTTTAGAGTGGTGAGCAATTCATCTTACTGGGGTATTTACTTTCAAGTCAGGTTCTTCCATTCAGACAGTAACAACATTCTTAGCCAGACAGACACATCTGAGTCTCATTTCAAATCTACTGTTGTGTTTGAAAGTCTGGCTTCAATTCATTTATTTTGAGGGTTACATTTTAGTTGGGCATTTTAAAAATTGGGAGGTTAGAGAATATCTGTGCTGAAGTCTTTGCTGATAGACAAGTATTTCTAAATTTATTTGGGTTAAACCACGAGAAGGGTGCGTATGCATGTGTACACACAGAAACACAGAAATATACAAAATACTTCTAATGAAAAATATTGAGTAGTTTTCAAAATATAATGTAAGACAACGATCAGAGCACACCAAATCAAGATAAATTAATATCTGTGTTTCTTATTTGGAAGGACTTTTCAGGAAGGAGATTCTCTTGGGTGAATGGGGGCATTTGCTGTGTATTTTGTAATTTTATATCTCAGTTGTGGGAAATATTCTAATTTGGCACATTTTAACTTTAAACACGCTGAGATTCCAGCCGATTTTCTTCTCAGAGGCTGATTATATTGACAGTATAATCTTTAATAATAGATTATCCAGAGTTACAAAGAGCCCGCAAGGACCATCAAATCCAACTCCTGGCTCCATAGAGGACCACCCAAAATTCAAGCCATATGTCTGAGAGTGTTGTCCTAAAAAGTAATAATCATCACCATATTGCTAAATCTTGAGACTTATCTCAGATACTTAACTCACCTAGATCTCAAACATAGGAATCTAAAGATTAAGGGTTACAGTCTTTACAATTCTTCCACAAATACAGAGTTGCTTGCACTCAAATCAATCAGTTATTTCTATGAGTGTGCTGATAGGATTTACAGACTATCACTGAAAATTGAGGCTGAATTGTTCCTTACTTCTCTGAAGAGATGAAACTTCTTGTTTAAATAAAATTTATAACTCAGAAAACTAGTAATTATTTGGGTAGGACAGAATTGTTAAGTGATGCCAGGCATATGCAATCCATATGTTTTTTGTTAACCATTTATTTTTTAATAATTTTTAAAGTATTGGATCTTCAAGGACTGCCCCAATCTGATTATTTTTACCACTGAGATTTGGCATCAGAATATATTTCATTGGAATTCCACTGGAATTTTCTTTTAAAAAGGAAGTAACTAAGTAAAAATTATTCTTGAAATTGTATACATACAGACCGTGCCAGATTTGCATGAGAAATTAGACTTGCAAAACTGGTAATTTTGCTTTGTTTTTCTTTAATATTGAATGAGAGACAATGCTCATGGGGAAACCTGAAAATTTGGTGAGTTTCATTTAAGAGCTGAAGATGTTTCTTGTAGCTATGGTTTATGAGCAACCACTCTAGGATGCTTTTGGCAACCAAACATTTTTCCTAAACCTATGTTCCTTTTCCCTGTGTGTTTTTTGGTTGTATTTTGATTGTCTTTTTTTTTTTTCCTTTTTTTTTGCCACAAATAACAATTGCATTTCCTTTATTCATATGGTATTCCCTCCTTTCGCAGAGACAAAGAAAATGCTGCAGCAGCATCACAAAACAGGTAATTGTTGCTCTGTGTTTTCTCCTTTATCCCTATTTAGTTGGCCTCCTTCCCCCTATTACTCTTACCTCAAAAACATGCAAAATTTGAGAAGGCAATAAATGTTGCCTTCTCAATAAATAGTTTTCAACTAAGCAGATTTGCTAGGCGTTTCTTTCTGATGTAGAATTCAGAAAGGTCTGTGAGATGGTAGCAGACATAGTAGTGAAGGGGATTTAATTGCTTGGAACTTTTGTATAAACATTTCTGTATCTGATTCTTGTGTATGTTGTGTGATCCTTGATGGGATATGAGGTTTTATAATTTCTTTCATTTCAAAAGTGATTTTTTCCCAAAGAATCTCAGCAAGCTTTGTAGTTACATGTAGAAATGTATCTATGAAGGTACAGACAAGAGCTGAAGCACAGGTACTGCTTAAATGAATCTAATCTTTTGTTTAATGGAGCAAAGAAATGTCGCTTGTTAGTTCATGCCTTGAAACAAATTTTACCTCATTTCTTTCCAATTTTATTCACCCCCCCATGAACAAATATTTTTTATATTTGTTCTGAAGACTTCTCACAGTTCAACAAAAGTTGCATAGAATTGAAATCCAAGTGCAAGCATCATCCTGACTAATGATATAAGCAATGGTAACTGGCGCTTGGACACGCAGGGAAAATAAGAATTATGTCAAAAAGGAAAAAAAATAAAAATAAAAATTTAAACCTTGATTCCTGCATAGCAAGTGTATATAAGGTAAATAAAAAATTCAGTAACACATCTAGCATTTGAGTAGTTGTTTGATTTGTGTAAAACCATCTACAGAACTATGCAGCTGCTCCACTGAAATCTCTTCTTTTGGATTTTACTAGGAACTATATCTGATTTATGACTGCTGTTAGTGTCACACTGCATTGCCTTAATCTTGCATGGTTTGTCAAACCATTGCTTTTATCCACCTCCATCTGTTATTGTTGCAGCTTTGCCATTGTCTTATTATGATATTCCTAGCAATATGGTTTCCAGATTTAACACAAGGTACTTGTAAAATTCTTGCATCCTTTTCCTGGCTTATGCAGTAATGAGCCATGAAAATTTGTTGTGATTTCAAATGCAATACCACGATGATCTCCTACAGTGAGAATTTAGGAATACTTGAAGAACATGCTGGACATTTACAAATATAAATCTTCTTACAGGAAAAAGAAGAGACAGAAAAATGAAGCCT